TTATATTTTTCAAATTAATTTATTATCTGGATAATTTTTTTCTTATAATAATTTTTTCGTTTGAAAGATATTATTAAAGATGACATTAAATTCATATTTCAAAAAATATATTTTATTTTACTTACCTAAAGAAGTTAAATTCTCAAATAATACTATTTGATCCCATGTTTTCCATTTAGCAAATTCCAAGATTAATTGCAATGTTAATGGCGAAGGTAAAATACAAGCGCTAGTTATCATACAAAATGGTAATACAAAAAATTTCGTTTTCATTTTTGTATAAATATGAAAAAGATGAAATATTTATAAATTTCTAAGAAATTTATTCTAATTCGTTATTCAGAATATCTCATTGTAATAATGTAATCAGAAATTTTTTAATTATTTTTAAGAATTTATTCTTTTAGAAAATCCATTTAGAATATCTGGCTGTAATATGACAAATTTGAAAAAAATTTTTTTTTTAGAAAAAAATAATCATAACATTCTTTTAGAAATTACGTCATATAGACATATAGACATATAATACATACATGCATCTTATATTTTATCTTTTATCTTCATAATTATAATCACGAAAATTTGTGCATTATGCTTTTAAAATTAATATTTCTGGTGAATTGCTATATTGGTATATTATTCGATAATTTTTTTCTAACTTATTTTATTTAATTATAACTTATTTTAATAATTATCTTTATAACAATTAACTTAATTAAGAATTTAATTGGTGAAAATTCTTATCGTTAATTTAATTTCGATAAATGTTATGAAATATGAAAAAATGCCTATTTTCACCAAATATATCAATATCTCTACGAAACACGAAACGCTTTAGACAACGATCGAATGTAGACTGAGGATTATCTAGATGTAGTTTTTTCGTCTTTAGTTTTAACGCATGTGAAAATGTTCCAATAAAATATTATTATTTTTTTCACCATTGAAATTAAATTATATAAATAATATCATGCATGATATATATTTTTCTTAGCAAATGCAAATTTTTCAATGTTTTGCATATTAAACAACCAATTCTAAGCTGAATCATTATTTAACAAAATACTGCCTAAGGCAATATAGAATAATTTTCCATAATTTAATGAAATAAAATTATCAATTATTCAAAAGATGAAAACTATATAGAAAAAAAAAAATTATTTTTTTTTATTTCATTTTTATATTTTTTAGATGATAAAGTAGATGATAAAAGAAAGTATTTTAATGTTAAAATTCAAAATAATATTAATGTTCAAAAAATCACTTAATAAATCTGATGATGTTTTAAATCTCTACATAAATATACAGGAAAATAATTGGAAAATAATGAATCTACGCTTATTATAACAATAAAAAAATATAGTTTATCAAATTTTTTCTTTTATGATCTTCATATATAAGTTTTATTTTTATCAATTTTTATAATTGTTATTTAGTTTGTTTATACAGTTACGATTATTTTTTTCTAATTTAATTTTTTTGAAAGTGAAATGTATATACATAGAATATACATATATGTAGTTATACATATAATTATTTAGAAATTCCATTTGCTGATGATGATTTGTGGGAAAAAGGAATTATAATGATGGATTCAGATTACTATATTTGAAAAAATCAACGAGGCATATTGACGATACAAAACTCTTGAATGAGGACAATAATGTGTCGATAATAGTATTTACCTCATGTCGACAGCAAATCGATAGAATTGATGCAATCGATGCATCAATTGAAGAAAAGAATTGCTATTATCCATGATATTTACGAAACTGTTTCGTATAATAGTACGTATAACAATATAATTTTGTTTTTCATAGAAAAAAAAATAAATTTCATGTAGAAAGATATTTTTTATTTTTTTTTTATATATAAAATTTCTTTATAAGTTTAGAATATCTTTCTTTAATTGTATTAAAATTATATACATTCATATATGTATATGTATATTTTTAAAGATATTTTTACTAATATTACTAAAATGAAATGTTTTTATATCTAATTTTATTAGATTTTAACTTTAATTTGTAACAAATAAGTTTATTTTAATATTAAAGTTTTAAATTTTTATTTTTTTTTTTATACACTTTAAAAATAGAAAGAGCAATCAATATAAAAAAATGATAATTCATATATGAATTTGCATAATTGATATTTAATAAATATTTTTTATTATTTGTATGAATGCAAAATCGTTTGCATGTTAGAACTCAAATTTATCAAATGAATTGATTAAGTGTGAAATTGAATATTAATTGAAATGAATAAAATAATTTTTGATAATAATATTCTTTAACATTTTTAAATATATATTTTTTTTGTAATAAATAATATGTATATAAAAATTCAATATATACTATAAAAAATAATTATAATAAAAAAAATTACATACAAAAATTTTAGATTTAATTACATAAAAATTAAATTTATACATATATATATTCAAAATTATTTTTAAAATGGATATTTAACAAAATTATTTTAAACGAAATTATATTATAAATATCTGTATAAAATTTTCCAATGATTTTCTTTTGACAAATAAATATATAATATTATATGCACACATTAAAAAAAAGTTATCGACATTTATTATGGTCAATTTTTTTTAAAAAATACAATTCATTGTAATTTTTTTATAATTTTTTTATATAAACATATTTTTATTTACTATTCAACGATACGTATAACATAAAAATATATATGAAAATATATATACAATTAAAATAAAAGCAATTAATTTATTATAATAATAAATTTATTTTTTATTATAATATTATAAAATGTAGAAATAAAATATAATAATATTATATTATGTAGAATTATATGATAATTTGAACAAAGATTCATGATAATGAATAATGAAACTTCAATATAACTATAGATATTACATCATTCATAATTATACTTTAGACTTTGGAATTTAGATTAATTTGACGATACTGATATGTAGAAAATTTAAAAACAGCTAATACCATATCAAAGCAATCATTTTATTGAAATTTTCTTAAATTTTTGATTTTTTATTGATCTTATAATAGATTTTAATATTAATTGGATAATATTAAAAATTATAATAATATACATTATGATATGATATTTAATACAATACAAAATTAAAAAATATGTTCATATTCATATTATTATAAATGATTTTCATATCAATACATATTTTCTAAAGATAAGATTTCAAATAAGCGCCAAAACACATCTGACATACCAATATACTATATATTTATTAAAAGTAACATGCATAGATGTATACAATCAAAAAAAAAAAATATATATATAAACATATATAAATATATATTTAAGTTTCAAGAAACTATTCTTATTAAAAAGATATTTGTTTTTTTTATTGCATATACATTTTTTTTACATTATAAATTATAATTATATTCAGTAATATATATTATAACATATGTGGAATTATTAACTATATATTAAAAAATATATTTTAATAAGTAAATTTATAATTTGATGATTTATAATTTTGATGATATTAAATTTTAATACTTAGAACATATTCATTTTCATTTTATTGAAATATAAAATTATGTTATGGCTATTTAACCGACTGTTGATAACATTTCATGAAAACATTTCAAGATTTATAAAGTATTAAGGAATCTATAATAAAATATATATTATGTATTATATGAATATTAATTAACATTTAAATAAATTTTAATTTTAACTTTAAGTAATGATTAAGCAGATAATTAAAACAAAATTTTAATTATTGTAATACGAAAAAAAAAATGTTTAATCATTGAAATATTATTGTACCATTAATTAAATTATCTAATTTTAATTATTATTTCTCAATCAATTTAATGCTAATTAAAAAAATATATACAAACTAATTAAATTTAAGATTTAAAGATATTTATAATAGTATAAAAATGTGTAAAATATGAGAAAAACTAAAATTTTAAATATTGAAATTGAAAACTGAAATAAAAATTAATTTTTTTGAGTAGAATATATAATTATATTTGTTTTAAGAAAAAAATAATTTTGTATATTCATATTTAAAATGTAGCTATTTAGCTAAAAGTAAAATATAAATACAAATATAATATTTATATTTATATAAAATTTGTAAATATAAAAAAAAAATACAAAGAATTTTTCTATTTTATCTTTATTTTACAATAATATAACTCGATGATGATATATAAAATGAAGTATACAATATTAATGAACTTAATTAAAAATAAAAATTTTTATATAAAATAAATCAATAGATTTTCAATCTTAATCAATTGCTATTATATTATAATATAATTTTAAATATAGTAGTCAAATGAAAAAAATTATTATATAAAAATGGACACTATACAGAATAATAAATAAATAAATCTCACAAAAACATATTTTGGTCTCATTCTGTCTCTATCGTATAAAAATATATTAAAAATGTATAATTAATAATATATATAAATTTAGTAATCATCAAAACAGGAAAAAAATTCTTATTAATTTTTATAATTTAATTTATTATAAAATATTATAATTTTTAGTAAATTATAAAATATAATAATTATTTATTATTATATTTTTTAATATATAATTATATAAAATAAAAAAATATTATAATTATTTTTATTGCCAATATTGCAATAATATGAAATAAATTTCTAACTCTCTCTTATCTTTATCTTAATAAATAATAAATGATATAATAATGACAAAATGTTTTTACAGAATATTTAAATAAAACATTTTAATTTTTAATTATAAAAAAAATAAAACAAGATAGATATTATAAATAAAGAAATATATATTTTCAAGTGCTTTTTAATAAATGCTCTCATTGACATGAAGGAACACGTCAAAAGCGATGCATTGACGTGTTTTGGTAAAGAATCACAGACATTTGTTCGTAATATCAATGCAAGAAAACTCCGCATCGAGGCGCTGTCTACTACTTCCGTCTAGTGTCAAGCGCTAGTCATGTTTGTGTTCGTTGGCAATCCTATTTAGTTCCTGCCGCGTGGTGCCGGCGTTTCAGTCTTGATTTTCTGTTAGATCATTCAAGTTGTAGGAAAGTGATATAAAATATAGTAAAATATAGTAAAGTCAGAGATTTGATATAATTGAAGGAGTCTTTTGTGACTATAATTTCATACGGAATCGTGTTTGTTGTACATTGTGCATAGCATTGGAAATCGACGTTATATATATATATATATATATATATATATATACATAC